AATGCTATGCTGGGGATTATTAGGAAGGGTATTGAAAACAGATCAGCCAATATAATAATGCCCCTATATAAATCAATGGTGAGACCTCATTTGGAATACTGTGTGCAGTTCTGGGCACCACACCTTAAAAAGGATATTATAGCTTTGGAAAAAGTGCAGAAAAGGGCAACTCAAATGATAAAAGGGTTGGAACACTTTCCCTATGAGGAAAGGTTAACGCGCTTAGGGCTCTTTAGCTTGGAGAAAAGACGACTGAGGGGTGACATGATCGAGGTTTATAAGATTATGCATGGGAAAGAGCAGGTAAAGAAAGAGGTACTTTTCTCCCTTTCTCACAATACAAGAACTCGTGGGCACTCCATGAAACTGCAGAGCGGTCGGGTTAGAACGGATAAAAGGAAGTACTTCTTCACCCAAAGAGTGATTAACACATGGAATTCACTGCCACAGGAAGTGGTGGGTGCTACAAGCATGGATGGCTTCAAAAGGGAATTAGATAAGCATATGGAGCAGAGGTCCATCAGTGGCTATTAGCCACAAGGTATAGCTAGGGGCTCTGGGGCAAGTGATGCTCTGTCTTCTTGTTGCTTGGGGGGGTCAACAGTGGGAGGGCTTCTAATGTCCTGGCCCCACTGCTGGACCTCCTGATGGCACTGGTATTTCTGGCCACTGTGTGACACAGAGTGTTGGACTGGATGGGCCTTTGGCCTGATCCAACATTGGCGTCTCTAAAAGAAAGAGGAGGGAGATTTTTGATGGCTGTCTGCAGATCCCCCTATTTTCTTGCCGACCACCCACTGTCCCTTTGGGCCCACTGACCTGAAGGGGCATAGTTGTAGGGTAGGGGGGCAAAGAAGCAGCCATTTTCTCCAGGGGAGCTGATCTCTGTCAGTGGGAGATCAGTTGTAAAAGCGGGAGATCTCCAGCCCCCACCTGGAGGCTGGCAACCCTAAAAGGCTATAGTGAGGGAGAAAGGCGGGGAAGTTGACTCCCTCTAGCCTGTCTATGCTCACACTGCTTAGGACCCAAGTCACTGTCTACTTCATTGGTATGTAATCAAGCTTTATCAATACATGTTAATATTGAGGTTGCATCTCTTGAATGAAACTCAGGCAGTTTGTGATTGCATTTGTTTATTTATTTCTAAGAAACAACCTATGGTGGAAAAAAAATGGCAGCTCTTTCACCTGCTGGGTCACCAGAATTTTTCAGTGAAGAGATAACGCAGAGAGAATAACAGGACATGTTTTCTTGAATTACGGCAGCTGCAAAGCATCATGTCTTGCTCTCCCCCTTCCCAGTGGGTTGATTTATAATAATGTAGCCACAAGCTGGTAATAAACACATCAGCATTGTACAGTATAAAACCTATGCCCCGGCTTTTCTCACTGAACAATAACATTTTCTAGTGTAATGGCAGTGGAATTAAGGGGAGGAAGACACATGTCGGCCATGATGACGGTTTGGTCTTTCATCTTCTTGCACCTTTCCAGCTAAGGCTGGTCGTTTCTTCTTCTCTGTTCCTAGGCAATGTTTCCATCACCACAAAACAAGAGCAACCTGGGCTTGTGCCAATCTGGCTGCCCGGATAAGGCCAATATATCAGCTTCTGAATGGAGTGGATCAGTTTACAACTGGTTTCCTCTTCCTCTCTACAGAAAGAGAGCGAAAAAGCATAAAGTAGTTAGAGAATCACACTAAGAGCTGGGTGATCCACATTCAAATCCCCACTCTTCCATGACGTTTGCTGGGTAACCTTGAGCCAGTCACTTTTTCTCAGCCTTGCCTGCCTCACAGGATTTCTGTGAACAGAAAATGGGGGAAGCCACCCTGATCTCCTTGGAGAAAGGGTGGGATAAACATGTATTAAACAGATGAATTAGAGCTTTTCCCACACATTCTGAGAACACACAATGGAATGAGAGATTTGGGACCAGCGTTCCCTCTAAGCTGAGTTAGTGTGAGTTAGCTCACTGTTTTTTAGCCTCCAGCTCACATATTTTTGTCTTCGCTCAGGAAGGAGGGCTCCAGAGCAAACTAAGTTATAGTAGCCAAATTGCTCACTCACAACTTTAATGCCAGTAGCTCACAAAGTAGAATTTTTGCTTACAAGATTCCACAGCTTAGAGGGAGCATTGTTTGGGATCACTCTAGACATTAGACAGATGTGTCAACACTCTTTTTAAATAATTGAAAAGTAGCCTTAGGTTGGAACAAAGAAAGGTAGAGGCTTTCCCTCTTTAATTTGTTCACTCACAATTGACCCTTTCGAGTTTCTTTTCTCCTTAAAGAATAAAATAATATGTGGACCCCGTATATCTTTTCCCCTATGGAAAGAAAAGGTGTTTGGGGAGGGTGATTTCAAATAAGCAAATGGCGGGAAAAGAAAGGATTAAGTGGTTGATGTTTGCTTACTAGTTCTAGTAAAATGTGAAACTGAATAGTAATTGATTTTCATTTCCCTTTTTGACCTTAATTTCTCCTCTCAAACAAAGAGCGGTATGAACACATATCAATCAATCAATCAGTAAAACTGTAGTCTATAATTTGCTATGGAGAATGTTGACAGTCAATCAAGCAATAAAACTTTAGTCTATAATTTGTTATGGAGAATGTTGACACTGCAATATAGAAAGTGGAGGATAGCCACTTTTAAACAAACTATTCATTTTTGTCAGTGTTGGTTTCCCTTTCATTTGACAGGGCACAGAAACTGTCAAAAACCAATCTGTTAAGTAGGAATTCTGAAAACTATCCATGGTCCATCACTTACGTTTACATCACTACAGGGGGTCACACAGCATGTCTCTGTATTTTTCTTGCTTTGGGCTTCCTGTCATTTCCTTTCTGTCCCGATCAAGCAGTCTATTCAACCTGTTTGTTCCCCATATTCATTTGGTGGGGCAGAACTGTCATATGTTACTGTTTTGACATATTCTAGCCCCATCCAGGAGTTACAGTTTTGGCACTCCAGAAGCCTCACATAATGAGACTGCTCAGTGCCAGCAATCCTCCCAATATGTCCAGTTGCCATTTTGTGTGAACAGGACTATGTGCATATTTTCTAATTCAGTGCCTGCCAAATGCGTGCTCACAAAAATCTGGGGTTCCTATCAAATGTATGCATTGCCACATCCAGGACTTGAAAAGTAGCCTAACATCACTTCATACCTCACATTTCTTTCCCAAAGGGAAACTGTCCTCATTTGGGAAGTTATACAGGCAGAGCTAGAATCTCCTCAGTCAGGCAGCAAAGAATCTGTCTTCAAAGCAGACCTATTTAAATCCAGTCATTTAGTTCTAGCAGTGCTGATAAATCCAGCTATTGTATTTTTGGGTCATGGGTGGTCCATTGCTATTCTGGGATTTAGCCGCTTATAGATCTTGGCAGTTAAATTGCAAGTATTGATTTTGCTGGGACAATTTCTATCTGCCTCAAGGAAAATGTCTCTCTCAGTACCAGGCCTTCAGCACACAAATACAGTGGCACATAAAGAACTGAGGGAGAAATGAGGCTGAGGATTGTCACAAGGCTGGCATTTGGTAGGGGTGGGAAAATATTCCCCTTTCTTCCCTCAGATCCTGGCAATCCTGAGGGCAGAAGGACATTACAGAACCCTCAGACACCTCTGAAAATGGTGGTAGGGTGTGAAATGTCTCCCTCTGTGATGTCTACTTCAATTTACTGCTGCCTCAACGCCATCACAACATTCATTCCCTCAATTCTGCATATTCTCCATGCTCTGTAGCTGGGACAACCTTTGAAGACTGAACAGAGCAACTGGTGGGTGTGAGAGTAATGGAGAATGTATCTCACCAGTCTTAAAAGATCTACTTTTCTGCAAATTTGCTTCTGCCCCCCCCCCCCCATTCAAAGTGCTGATTATTACCTATAAAGCCCTAAACCACTTGGGATTAGGGTACTGGAAGGACGGACTGCCCTTGTATCAATCTGTATGTCAGGTAAGAACCAAATCAGGAAGTCTGGCTTAGAGTCCCCATCTTTTTCTTTCTTTTTTTAACTTTTTGTTTTTTATTATTTTTCCAAACACAAGGAACATTTACAAGTTTCATAAACTGGAAGGAACATAAAAATGTTTATGTAATGATTTCCAGAGTCCCCGCCTTGACAGCTGTCTGAGCACCAGAGACAAGGGCTTGGATCCAACAAAGCATTTCTGTAGACAGAGCTGTTTCTACCAGAAGAATGCAACTTTCTCACCTCCTCCCTCCCACAGCAGCTCTAAATGACCCCTGAAATGTTGCATGGGGGTGTCCCCCAGGTAGGGTTTCCAACCTCCAGGTGGGGCCTGGGGATCTTCCCAAATTACAACTAATCTCTAGGCAACAGAGGTCAGTTCCCCTAGAGAAAATGGCTGCATTGGAGGGTAGACTCGATGGCATTACATCCACCTGAGGCCTCTCTCCTCCCTAAATCCCGCCTTCCCCAGGCTTCATCCCCAAATCTCTGGGAATTTTCCAACCCAGAACTGGCAACCCTATTCCTAGGAGCAGCATTGGGTGGCATTTTGTGCTCAATTTGTATAAGGCTCATTGGATCCAAGCCAGGGCCTTTTCTATTAGGATGCCTTAGCTGTGGGATTCTTTCCTCACAATAATAAGAAGAGAAGAGATTGGATTTATACCCCGCCCTTCACTTGGGAGTCTCAGAGCGGCTTACAAACTCCTTTCCCTTCCCCTCCCCACAACAGACACCCTGTGAGGTGGGTGGGGCTGAGAGAACTCTGACAGAAACTGCTCTTTCAGGAACAGCTGTGCCAGCGCTTGTGACTGACCCAAGGTCACATCAGCAGGTGCAAGTGGAGGAGTGGGGAATCAAACCTGGTTCTCCCAGATTAGAGTCCGCACACTTAACCACTACACAAAACTGGCTCTCTCACCTGGAGCTGAGCTTGCTGAGGCACCAGACATGAAACCGTTTGGTGTTTCTAGACTTTGAATCAATCATTTTGTGGGTTTTTTTGTTTCCCTCCTACTGAACTTTATGCCATCTTCTTCTTTTTTGTTTAAAAAAAGTAATATTTTTACACTTTTTAAAAATATTGTTCTAATCTGGACTGTGATTTTATTCTCCCCACTCCATGCACAGATGTGGTTTTTTCACGATCTTTGACAGTTTTATGTTCTTAAAATATTTTGAAGCTGTCTTGTGTGCTATGCTGGTGAGTGTGATATATGGATATTGCAAGTAAATAAAACTCCTCCAAGGACATCCAGTGATTCAAAATGGAAGCAGGAAAATGCAAATCATAGCTACACAGAAAGAGCTGAATGATGTGAGTACAGAGGAAGAGGGTGGGTAGGGACTGGGGCACGTGGTTACCCACAGTTCAGCTGCCCTGTGCTTCAATGCCAGCTCACACCAGGGCTCCCTCTACACACATATTTCTCAAAGCTACCCCAAAGGACCACCTTCCGGGACTGATGACAGATTTACATGCACACATCTCCACATGGGCTTTCAGTGGGCCTTGCTCTTCCAAGTATTCTGCCTATTCACACCCCCAACTTGGATTCCCACCCCTGCCATGACCAACTCCTGCTGCTGCCCTAGGATAACCTGCCCATCACCTGGCAGTTTTTTACTGCCCTCATCTTCACTGCTACAGATGAAGAGTCTCTTCTTTGCTGCACCTTGACTCAGTGGCAGAGCATCTGCTTGGCATGCAGGAGGTCCCAGCTTGAATCTGCATCTTCATTTTCTGGGTTCAATCCCCAGCTTCTCCAGTTGAAAGGATGAGGTAGGAGGTGATGTGAAAGATCTCTGCCTCAGACCCTGGAGAGCTGCTGCTAGTCTGCATAGACAATAGTGACTTTCTTTTTCTTTTTCTACTGTTTTTTGCATTTTCTCTGTGTGTGCATGTGCTTGTATGTGCTTGCAAGCCTGGACGTCATGGTGACTTCTGGCAAACCCTAGTGGGGCTAGGACGTTTCAGAGAGGTGAGATCAGACATACCTGGGCAATCCAGGTCAGAGTTAGACAATTTGATGGGCCAAGGGTCTGATTCAGTATAAGAACACGTGTTCGTGTGTGTGTGTGTGTGTGTGTGTGTGTGTGTGTGTGTGTGTTCAAGTGGCAAGACAAGCCAGCTGGCCTTCCCATCGTCTGCTAAACTCAGTGGTTAGCTTTAACCCAAACCCCATCACTTACCAAACTGGCAGTTCTCACAAGGCCTAAGCAAGGTCTGAGGAAGCACAAGCGCCTCTGAGTCTCAAGCCTGCAGTACATATTCTGGTTAGACACTCGTGTTGAAATCCCCATATTACAGGTGGTAGAGCAGGCCGACCATGCTGTGCTCCACTCTTCACATGGGAAAGGGAAAGCTATCGATGCTGTCCCCGGCAGTCTTTGTGCTGAGTAAGGAGAGAAAGAAGGAAAGTGGCTTAGTGGGACATTATTTACCAGGTGAGGTGATGTTATTGACCATGAAAAACTTCCAACTGCTCATTTCCACATATTAAGCCTCTGTTCACAGGACAAGACATTTTCCTCCAAGCCAGATGGCAACCCTACTCATAGAAAGAGAAGAACCCATAATCCCCATTTAGGCATCGATTAATACAGTTAATAATAAAGGCCCAATAGCGGCTTGTGATCCGTGAGGACTGTGAACGGGCGTCCATCCAGGTAGTGGTGAAATTTTTTCACCCCCACCACGATCGCCAAAGCCTCTTTGTCTATTTGGGCATAGTTACGTTCTGCCGCCGACAAGGTCCGCGAGTAGTAGGCGACCGGGACCTCGCGGCCGTCGGGCAGCCTATGTCCCAGCACCGCCCCAACCCCATACGGCGAAGCGTCGCAAGCCAGCACCACGGGAAGGGCCTCATCGAAATGTGCTAGGACCGAGTTTGATACTAGCAGGTCCTTAACCGCTTTGAACGCAGCGGCTTGCGGCGGGCCCCAGACCCACGGTGCCAACTTGTCCAGGAGGCCTTGTCAGGGCTGGATACACTACAATTCAGAATAAATTCCTTTTCTATCATCGTCTCCTGCACACATACCCCCAGCATAGCTCATTTGAAGATGGCTACTGTAAGCCTCTGATGAAATGACCAGGGAGATTTTTCTGGCTTTTCTGAATGCTTGTAAAATTTATTTATTTTGTAAACAGAACTATTTTAAATGTCTTTCAGAGTTCAAAAGGAAAATGCAATGCTAGAGCTTGAATTCTGGATTTCTGCCATTACATTTGGCTTCAGTTGTTAACTGTGGCTCCTCAGAGTGCAAAAGACCTGCCTCAGAATGATGCAGATTGAGGCCTATGAGTTTTACCTGCCATGGCATCCTGAAAGACCTGTCTGTCTTGTCTCTCACAAATCCATTCAGGACAACACTTCCCCGGGACTTCCACACGCCTTGGGTGGGGGCAGTCTGGAGCGGGGAGGCGGACATCCTCACTGCAGAGGGGGACACATGTCACGCCTCCCCCTGAACAATAGCACTGATGTTTACAGGTCGGCTGGAAGGCTTCACCATCCCGGTAGATCTTCCCATTCACTTCGCAGCTGTCGTCTCCCTCCTCATCTGCAGCCAACAACATTCAGACAAAGCAGAGATCATGGAACAACCCAGACCGAGGCATCAGACCAGTGGCAGAGCCATCATTTAATATTAGTGAGGGGGAATCTGCGATTTGTTCTGCAATTTTAGGAAAGGGACATTTCTCCAATGAATTCTTCCTTAGCAAAACAAACTGCCAGGATTGAAAGGAGGGCTGAAACCTGAAAACAATTAGAAACTCATAATGCACAGGGGAAAAATTATGGGTGGAGGAACTTGTCCGTATCTTTGTGAAGGTTAAATTGTGCGCCTGCATTTTTGCACCCCCACCACAGGGGCAGAGATAAGTGGTGTGGGAGTAGACAAGAACGTCATCCCCACATGTTGCCTGTGTGCATGTCTCTTCTCTCCCCCCCCCCCCCAAAAAAAAGTACAGATGGGATGGCGATCCTCCTGTGTGCCCCTGCAGATGAGCCATATTTGGAAAGAAAAAAAGCTCTTTAGGGAGCTAGTAAGTAGGAGAGGAAGAGCAGAGTTTATCCCTAACGTTTTGAAGGTAGAGAATATATCTGCCCTTCCTCTGAGTGACTGTGAGTGAAGCGTCCACATGGACATTCTGCCCACAGGTAGCCCACAGTTCCCCTTTGAACTTGATCAGGATAAATTTCTCTTTGATCTGGTTTAAAGGGGAAGCCATGGAAGGCCCAGAAGTCATTCTGAAAAACAGCACAATGTGACATGGACACTGCTCTTTAATTTTGCATCTTCTTGCATGCAAGGAAACATCCCTATATGGGAGGAGCCTTGATTTTACTTAATTCAGAATAGCAATTCTGAGTGCCAGACCTGACACGGCTGAAGTGGGAATAGGGATCCACATGTATTTATTCACTTGGCCTCTGATTCATATGTAAAATGGGTGAGAGGTCTACTTTCTTTTGACCAAAAACTGAGCAAGGGATGAAGGGACAGAAAGCCTGCCCATCTCCAATCTTATCTCTCTGGACTCTGTTCTTTGCAGGGTTTTTCTTCCAGCCCTTCTTACTTCCATTATCAGAGTCAGGCTGTTCCAAGTAACATATCACAGCAGCGTAAGGCAGGGGTGGGAACTTCCTTTATCCCCACACTCCATTTTGTGAAGGAAAAAATACCCCCTATCCACTTTACATGGGGTAACATCACACTGATGATCTGACATCATTTCTGGGACAAACCTGGAAACAATGACATGCCACTCTAGGATTCATCAGAAAAACCACAATAATCCTCCTTCCTTGAAGTTTGTAGAAGTGTGGTCAATAATATTGAACTATTTGATGCAGATGGGAGTGGTTCCAAAAAAAAATTAAGTACTTAACTACTGCCCAGCTCAAATGACAACATAGCAACAAACTTACCTTAAGTATTAAGGATGACTCTATAGGTTGCAAGATCTGATGTTTGGTATTGTTTATTTGCTTTCTGTTTCAGTTTTTTAGGTTATTTTGGTAGTATGTTTTGTATATTTGTTGAATGTACTAAATACAAATTGTCAAAATTCTCCAAGGGGGGGGGGAGCCATAGAGTTTCCATTGAATCCTAGAGCAGCATAACATCACTTCAGGGTTTGCCCAGGAAATAATATCATACCATTGATGCAACAGCAATCCCCCCCCCTTATTTCCCCCCTGCCATCCTACTGAGCTGTGGCAGGGGCTGGAGGGCTGGTAGTGGAAGACTTCCTGCTGTAGATGGAGATCTAGCAACCCTACCTTAATAAATACATGTGGATCCCTCTCCTCTCCATCTAGGGTTGCCAGGCCTGGGTTGGAAAATACCTGGAGACTTTGGGGGTGGATCCAGGAGAGGGTGGAGTTTGGGGAGGGGCCTCAGCATGGTTCAGGGCCATAGAGTCCACTCTTCAAAGCAGCCATTTTCTCCACGGGAGCTGATCTCTGTCAGCTGGGGATCAGTTGTAAAAGTGGGAGATCTCCGGGCCCCACCTGGAGGCTGGCCTCCCTATCTCCATCACAGTTTGGTTTTTACTTGCCTGAAATCTTGAAGGGTACTATTTGGAGAATTGTATGAGTATTACTTTTTTCTGTATAGCAAAATAGCCTTCCTTGCTATTTTATTGGTTCATTGGATGCTCTAGTCCTTAAACTAGTTTAAGACTCCTGAGGTGGCTGTATCGTTAACAGGGAAATACTCCCAGGAGCTGACGACACTTCTTTTGCACCTTCCTGAAAGCCTTCTGAGAAGAGAGTGATTTTATTTCTATTTAAGCCTTGTTATTTTGCATGGGGCTAATGTTTGCTTAGCTCACGTCCCTGTCAGCTGACCTGAACTCTCCAAGTAGGACAGGAAATCAGGGCATATTTGCAGAGTTTT